CACGGGATGTGTTTCCAGCCATCCGGTGGTTGCTTCCACCATGGTGAGCACATGGCGCTTGCCTTGGCGGGTTTGTGGGAGTGTGATATAATCAATCTGCCAGGCCTCCCCATATTTATATTTCAGCCATCGTCCTCCATACCAGAGGGGCTTTAACCACTTGGCCTGTTTGATCGCAGTGCACGTTTCACATTCATGGATAACCTGTGCAGTAGTGCCCATGGTGAAGTCCACCCCTTGATCACGAGCCCATCTGTATGTGGCATCTCTTCCCTGATGGCCTGATTCTTTCCCCCATCCTACTGTGGAGGGGGTGGTGGTGGTTATGAGCAAGTGGCTGTGTGGTACTTAGTTGCTGGCTGGGGTTAAATCATGACACACAGTCTGACTATTTCGAGACTGTTTCATGTCTGGATGATTGTTCCCACAATCTCCATTTTCTCCACTATAATATACTCAGAACATCCCCTCTCTTTTTTCCCATTATAGCTGTATTGGAGATAGACAATAGCTCAGTTTCTTCCATTACTGCATCCAACTATAAATGAGAAGAAATTAAATGTACTGAAAGGACGATTCTTTCTACAGTGTTGACCTGTAAGACATTTTTACAGCATATATTCATTCATACCTACCTATAATACAACTGTACATACTATATATATTAATTTCAAGTAATATAGGAATATTTAAGGATGTATATTAATACAGTATCTTCCTTTCTTTCTTATGACTTATAAGAAAGTATTAAAAGGTCTCTTTTCCCATGGAATCAGAAACAGGCAGTCATTCTCTAGGAATGAATGAAATGCATTTTGGGTTTTTGTCAAGCAGAGGTAACATACCACATAATCTAATTATTTCCTGACCTCTGCTTCCGTCCCCATCATTTCTTCCCTTTCATATCCTGTATATCAGCTCAGCTGGGCAAATTCAAACCCAAAGGAATTTTTGGAACTGAGACTCAAATTGGATCTTTTCCAAAGTGAGTTCTGAAGCAGTAAAATACCCCATCAAGGGACACAACAGATTTGACACCACCTGCTATTTTAAATAAGTCTCAGATCTCTTCTTCAAAGATACCTCTTGCCTACTTTAAACATGAAGCTTTGAGTTGGACTCACAAGCCTTTGGCAGATGCTATATCCTATATCGAACAGGTTAGACTACACAGAGTAGCACTTTCTAACTGTCAAACCCATGGAGAGAAGCAGAAGCTACTTATACCGTTGCTCTGCTGTTTCTTTCAGCTGTCCATCAACTGGCCATGCAGTCATGATGACTGTCCACAGGTCTGCAGGTGACTGGATCAAGTCATACAAGAAGGAGCAGGGTCACAAACTACTGCATATAATTCCTCAGCTTGACAATGGTTTTGTCTTGCAGTTTCAGCCTGTTACGGTGCAGAAGTGGAAACATCTGTTCTTACCTGCATTCTCCTCAGCGTTAAGGACACTAAGGGCATGAAAATGACTTACCGACAGTCATCTATACAGGACTAATGTTCTAAAATAACAGACATTCCAGTTTATTACACAAAATTTTTGATTAAGTTAGCGAAAGTTAGAAAGACCAGATCACTGCAAACAAAAAGGCTCAGCAATACCACCCACAGAATGAAGACCACACCTACTGAATATTAGATTAATTAAGCTAAATACGAGACTAACTATGAGGCTAAATATCACAGACTAACAAACCAGAATTGATCCATCAGAAACTATGCCCAATGAACAAGCAAAGCAGACAGAGGATGTTCCAGTTACTAAAACTTTTTAAGATCCTTAGCCTAACATAATTTAAGATAGAGGCCAGAGTAGAGAGAAAGGAACAAATCTTTCTCACACTGGTCTCAAGACAAACAATGCCGAGAATAATCAAAGAAAGGTGCCCATTAGGACACGCGCACCCTTGTCTTCTTTAGCTCTGTCCCAGACATCACTGGGTGTTCCTCTGACATCTGCACCCTTAAGTACTTTCTTCCCAGCCTCCACCCCTTTAGTCCTCTCTCTGTTTTGTCTAGTTTCTGTTTCTACTGGCTTTTTTCCACTTTTTTCCCCTCTGGATTTCGTTCACAAGGCAGAAGGAATAAACTCTGACATCAACTGTCTCAACCACTTTTCTCTCCCCTCAGAGGTACGGTTATTGTCTTCAACATTGGCCTTCCAGTTGCTGAAGTTTTGGCTGTTCTGCAGACCTTTCTTTCCTTCATGCATATACGCTGGACTTGACAATTTTTTGCTGAAATGAATACATTTCCTTGCTTATGCTTTAATGATTCGGATAACTTCTGATGAAAAAAATGCTGTTCTTAGCAAAGTCCTGATTAGCAATCAGCTCTGCTCCAGGTAGTTTTAGAGGAAAATGGTTCCTGAGGAAAACTCACCGGCATAACAAAGATGAGAAAAAAAATGAAAGTTGCTACTAGCGTGCCTATAATTTAAAAGGAATCTAGGCCCTTTATTTCACTGTCCCATTTCACCAACCTCAGCTGATCAGTTAAATCAGAATACCATGTTTTCTGGAGCAATGACCCCACTCCTTTGTCTCCAACATGAACTGAAATTAGGCTGCAGACATTATACACATCTATTCTTAACAACTACCTATCTATTGTTTCAATATGGGGGTGTCCTGTATACAGGGATAGGGCAAGTATATGAGCAAATATGGAAAACTGTTACATGCTCAGGCATATCTGATAAGGCTAATCCCTCTATTAACAAAGCCCCTTAGCAGAGAGGGAGCTTATCTGGGAAAAAAATGAGATTTTTGCTAGCATAATCAAAGCACCTCAAATGAAGTAAGCTGTATCATAGAAAAGAACTCCTCTGCCAATTCAAACTGCATCTCCATAATGGATGGAGAAGTGCATGTGTAGCTCTGTAAGCCAGGGGTGTGATTTTTTCCCACAGTCTTGATCAATACAGCTACACTTTTAATAATGTGTGGTGTGGAGCTAGCCTTAATTTGCCATTTTCTTGCAGAATATAGAAAGATTAATACTTCAATTTATTATAAAAACATGTTTGGCATTATAATCAATGCTATTTGAATTATAATAACAATATATTTATGAACTATTCAACCAGCACATAGGGTGATAAGAAATTGATGATTCAGCCACTGAGCAATACAATTTGTTCATTTCTCACTCACTTGAAAATAAGCTTGAATTTCTATTAAAATTGTTGTGGTAATAGCTGTTGCAAGTATGTGTAACAGTGACATCTACTCTTAATGCCTGCAATTGTTTCTGTAATACAAAAATATTATTACCTTGTTTTGCTATTGCAATGCAGGTTATCTGACTGAGCACAAAGCTGTGATTCAGTTAAACATATATTGTTGTCAGAAATCGTTTCAGTTTGTCCTACAATATATGAAAATAAAATTACTGTCAGCAAGAAAATTATGAACTAGTTCACAGAAGAGAGACTAGTATAAAGTAAAATCACTGAATGCGAAACTCTACAAAATATCTGAAGGCAGGAAGCGGTAACAACTTGAGCAGGAGCTAACAATATTGGCACTGTTGTTAAAAAGAAAATTATTATATTATAATCGGATGTATTGTCAGAAATAGCAGATGGAAACCAAATAAATCACTTAAATTATTTCACTTAATTCCAATCTGTCAGCCTGAAACAATGGATTTTTAAAAGATAAAATATCCAGAACAGTAAAATTACACACAGAAGCAACTCAGCAAATAGAACCCAGAAGTAAAGATTACAAACGTAAAAAGATCAACTTAAATAATTTTCTGACACTCCAAAATTACTGCAACACAAAAGATGATAAAAAATGAATTGAATAGAGCAAAGACCGAGTACTTTCATTATCTCATTAAGATTGATGTAAAAACAATGTTTAGAAGAGTAAGCTTGAGCAAAACAGTTAAAAAAAAAAAAACTAAAAAAAGCTATGAGATTCCCTCATATAAGCTGATTTGCACCAATGTTGTATCACTGATTCAAATTTGTATCACTAATTACTGGTTTACGTGAACATAAGAAGAAAGAACAGGTCCCTTCAACACTAAGAAGAGGCAGGCAATTGAACAATATGCAAGAGTCACCAGAGCTACGGAAAGCTGAACATGACAGCTATCACTCAGGGTATCGCAGGAATGATGAAAACAATGTTGCACTACGCAAAGAGGGCTAGGTGACCTACTAGTCATTCTTTCAACCCAAAAGATTTTCTAAAGAAGGGCATGTTGCAATCTTCGTCAGAAAAATTTATTTTAATACTTTCGCTTTTTAATAGCTTTGTTTTACTAAGCTTTGAAAACAAATTAGACCTATTTTCTAGGTCATGCAACTTAGGTGCATCTGAATACTGCATTCACACAACCCATTGTTTCTCCAGTTTGGAAACAAACAAACAAACATAAAAAACCCACTAGGTAAGCAGGAGAACTAGGTGAAGAACTCATTTTCCTGATCAGGACATAAACCACATCAGAACACTACTGCTGGGAAGTGTTACTCGCTAGCAGCAAGAGAAACTTTTATTGTGTATTACGGAAAATATAGAGGGCTCCAGCCTGTAAGTTAGCTTCTCTCTGATCACATACCTGCCCAGATGTCATTGATACTGTTTGCAGCTGTCATACCTTCCAAGAAATCTGGTCAACACCGTGAGAAACATATCTCTGGGAATGAACTGGAACATATAGAAAAGCGAAGTACAATTTTAATCATCTCTTAGCACTGATTTCAGAAACAAAAGCAAACTACTATCTTTAGGAAAAGTAAGACAAAAAAAGATGGGAAATAGAACATTTCAAGGTATCTTTGAGTATCTATCAAACCTAAGATTAGGACCCTGGAAATGTAGGCTTTGCTTGAGAAGGAAACCTTCTTGACCTTCCCTTTGCCCTGAAGGTCACAGTTTTTTAATAGCTGTTGTACAGCAAAACAATGTCCAGATCTCATTTCTTCATGCAAAATATATTCCAACTAGAATTAAAAAAAAAAAAAAAAAACAAAGATCCTTCCTCAAAAGCTAAACACAACACATCAAATTTGCATTATACCCTCAACGCCACAAAACTCAG